GCGGCTCACGTGAGGGAGAATTCGTTCCGTGTTGCATCGCTGACTGAACAACGCCCAATTTAATCAACGCCTCGACGATTATGCGATAAGTATAATGCGCTCTAATCCTCTAACAGGCGAGTTTAAAAGCATAGCAGAATCTCTAGTATCTGAATCTCAGTAATCCACATGCTCAGAGGCGGATTTCTCTACCATGAGGTTAATGAGGCTTCAGTCTCGTATTTAGAAACATAGAAGAAACATTTCCTTTGTTCCTGAAAAATTAAAACAAAAATATCTAGTAATAGCTATGGCTCGGACGTTTACAAGCTCCAGAGCTTATGGTCCGAGAGCCCGCGACAGAAATGGACGACTCATTTCATTACACAAATGAACCTGTTTTCCGAAGATGGTATGTCTCCCTAGTTCAGATATGCTTGGTCTGGCATGAATTCAGTGGTGCAACGCTTCACTATGGCCTATTATAATAATTTGATTTTTGGCCAAAATCATTACTACTGACATTTTTAGCGTGTATTGGTGACATACCAAATTGCATAAAAAAGTTGGTCTGGCAGATTGTAAGCGATGCTAAACGAGTCTGGCAGTTGGAAAACGTTGTCGGAAAAACGAAGTAGTTTGACTGAAATCATTATTTCTGAAACTTTTTGTATAAACAATATGTAATACATAGGGTTAACAAAATTTGGTCTGGCAAACTGTAAGTGGTGTTAAATCGGTCTGGCAGCCGTTTACAAGAACGAACACACATGCGTTACCGGCCGGCGTTGAGATCTCGATAATCTAATAAAACTATAAAGTAATAATTATTTTTAAACATTATATACATTAGTTATGTATAAAATATTGCTGTGATGATTTTTATTTCATTTAATTATTATTAACTTCCCGATTTATAGAGATTTTATTGTATTTGCCCCTAAAATGAAAAATTAATTTTTTAGCAGACCTCCATGTTTCAAGGTCATTGGAGGAATTTTAGCCTATTTTTAACAAATTGTTCGTGTGTGCGTGTGTGTGTGTATGTGCGTATGTATGTACAAATGTAAACAAATTTTTCGTTAACGTTTTCTAAAAAACTAATAGCGAGATCAAAATGATCGATGATGCAATCGATATGTATCAATCTAACTTAGAGCTGATTAGATTTTGTTCTAATTCGGTCCAGTAGTTTTTTAGTTTAAAAAAAAAAAACAACTCAATAACGCAATCTAGATGGGAGAATATAAATTTATGAGTGAATAACTAAACGGAAATAAATAATATATATACATATATTATTATTATTATATTTATACGTATAGGTATAATACATGTATATATACATACAGGGTACTCCAAAAGTATGGAAACAGTCAAATATTTCCAAAATGGAACATTTGTGAGAAATATGGTTTAGGGAAATGTTTTAGGGTATCAAAAATTCTATTGAATGATCGTGTCCGTTTGACCTTCAAAGGACTGGTCAAAGTCACGTCAAGGTCAACATGATTTTTTTAACGGAACATCTCATTTTTTATCATGCACTGTGAAAGCTGGCTATGAGACCTTTTCGAAACGCTAGTTTTAAACATTTTTTTTTATTCGCAATAGATGGCACTGTAAACGGAAATCAGGAAGTTCCTTGTGTGGCCCGTAAAGGGTCGCAAACAAAATAAACATGAATAGCTATATGAATTAAGCGAGCGAGCAACAATAACCAGCTAGTTATTATTTAATTTCAATAAATCATGAAATTGCACGGCGCGCATATGTATTCGTTCTTTTAAACGGCTGCACAATGCATTACGGTTCAAACAATTTCGTTTCAATTTTACTTCGGCTCCAATTTTGCTCCAAAGAATCAATTCACTTCCAATTTCACTCCAAAGATTTCGGTTCTTGTAACCGAAACAACTACGAACCGGTTCAGTCATGTGAATTACGTTTCGGTTCACATCCTTGGTTAGTTCAGTTCGGAGTGAAACCATTTCGGTGTTCGAAGCTGGAGCGAAATTCACTATTTCGCTCCAATTTTACTTCGGCTCCAATTTCACTTCAAAGATTTCAGTTCTTGTAACCGAAACAACTACGAACCGGTTCAATCGTGTGAATTACGTTTCGGTTCACATCCTTGATACTTAGAGGAAACAAGTCCTGTGCTACATAAAATATACAATTTTAAGCGAAACAGGACATTTATTATTACCCCAATGCTCAGCGCACTTTGAGACTACAACGATGTACCGATCGATATCCAATTCAATACAACGTAAAGTTGCCTTTTCGCGGAATCGGTTTTCTTCTACTTGCCAATTGTGCGCGAGAGGGCCCTCGAGAGGACGTTTACCTCGGACCCCCTTTTAGGTTAAGTGCGCTTCCGTATTTAATGAACGAACGAGTCAGCGATTTTTGCAACCCGCGAGAACGAGAAGTGGACAGACGCTAGCGTGAATCGACCCCAGTACTTAGTATTAACACGCTACCGTGTTTATCGATCATTCGAGGTGAAATTACCGCAAGGCCATCAAGTCCATATTGTTGAATGAAAGAAACGAAAGGTATCGACTTTTCGTACGTACACGAACATGTAACGGGTGTCTCCGGCACACCTGTCTGACCAGCGATGGACACCGATACGAGATAAGGAAACGCATCAAGACGTTGCAAAGGTAGTTGCGTTAGGTCACTGTGATCGGTGCATTATGCAACAAGTAGTCAAACTTAAGTGCAACGGATATACCTTGGGCCATAATCCATAAATATAAGTGACATTAGCACTACCGTGATATCCTCGTCGATGACGTTCAACGATCCGTCGAGAAAATTGTTCTAATAGTTTTCACGTCGTGCGTGTCCTTGGACAATCATTATAGAAATTAGGGACAATGCGCGAACAGCACGAACATACAAGAACAGATTCTAATTCCGTGTCAAGTGCAACTGTCTTTAATTTGTGTTATTGTGTCTGTCGTCATCGAGTTCTTCGCAGATGCGATGTCGAACGTGAAGCTACGTAGTAAAATTTGATTCGACTAATACATGGATAATTAAAATACACCGGTTTCATCTACGAACGAATAAAAAGTACACGATTTTTGATCCGTTATTCGTTGAATAAAAATTATGTGAGTTATAGGAGAAAATTTATTCGTGTTGTGTTCACTCGACGTTTCACTTTTGACATTTCTATTCGGAGAAAAATCATTTTCGTGTGTACTCAAACCCACGATTTTAAAATGGTACGAATATTTTCACTCTATCCCACACTGTGGAATAAGAACGGTTGATCGAGGAAGACAAACATCTTAAATACTTTTGCATCTATACGAAACCTAAAGCTGATAAATTCTTACTGTATTACATTTTCTAGTTACGCAGATACGAAGAATCCTTGCGGAAAAAAAACGTTTTAAAAATTGAAAAAATTCCGAGCGTATTAAATTTTGTAATCATACAGGTACGAAGAGTTCTCGTAAAATATGCACGTGTGTAAAGATCACGTTGCTATCGTGATGCTATGATTTGATACTCTGCCCGTACTATTGTTTTCCGTGAACTTCAAATGCGACGATATAACCTCTAACGTTTTCTGTACGCGGTCCTTCGCAATAGGACGACGAAATATCTGATGTAGCGTACTTACAGGTACCGAGCCGTGTATCCGTATGAACTATACTGCCGCATTCATGTTGCCAGCTTGTCAGCATTTCACAGCGTCAGGAGATAAATCCAAGTAAACTCCAAGGGAGCTACACAGCATGCACTCACACGCGAAATGAAATCACTAGTACACACCCGTTCTGCACTCGGGTAAACTGGTTTCGAACGAAACAGTATATTACCCAGGTTCGATGCAGTGAGAACATACGGTGAACTGAGGTGACGATCGACCGATCGTCAACGCCGATACAAAAGTAGCGTTGTTGTGGCTGCTTTCGACCTTTATTTGACTCTCTCTTTCTTTTTGAAACGCTTCAGGGATTTGCGTGAATCGGTAGCTCGCAAGCGATACTTTGAGAAAATGTTAGGAGCCGCGTGCGCGACACCATCGAAGCCTACGTCGTCTGTCATAGGCGCTGCCTAGATTCTAAAGACTGGATGTAAAGCACGTAGGAGTAGCGCACATGTGACGGAATCGGTTATTTATTATTAACCCCTCGGGCCATGGGCGCGAAACGCAGCGTCCAACCGCGAGTGTCATGGCGCGGTGCGCTCAGATTAATGCCACTTTCTATCGGCAGGTATCGCCACGTACTGATAACAGCGCTGTCTGTAGGAACGCGGAATACTCGTGCAACTAATGTGCACTGCGGTTTCTTACTGAATCGGTATTACAGATCTCTTTTTTCTATTTATTTAAATGTTAAATAGTAATGACAGAGTCGAGTTTAGGATTAAGGTAAATTAAACCTAAGGATGCGTAGGTTTAGGGAGCACCGTCCGATTTTTTCACAAACAAAATTTACGAGATAAATTATCATTTATCGACCTCTTAATGTAATATGTCGTTTCTAATTATATAAACTGATCCATGAAATATATCTTTACGATAATTATTCTTTATTTCTCCACTGTTTCGACGTTTACAAAATCAAAATTATGGTCCAACTACTCGATAAGATAAAAAGGAACACTTGTAATAGCGATAGGTGGCGTCGTTAACCAATGCGACTGGCGCAAAATTGATATGGAACTGTCTATAAACAAATCAATGAAAAAATAACCAAAATGACGTATTACAACTATATGATATTAATAACATTTCTAGTTATCGATGACGAATAATTCATACAAGAATAACAATAGTTTCTCATATTTTTCCGAATATACAGAATCTATCTTGAAGTCTATCGTGAACGATGAGATGTAATATAAACAATTAAAGGAATTCCTTATTTCTCTTCCTGCATTAAACAAATTGTTTTCAATCGAATAACTGTAAAATTGTTTCATTGACTGTGCGATACATTTAAACGCATATCTTGTTTTAACAACCAAACAACATGTCAAACAAGCATTTAAAAATGGCCGTAGCCACAAGTAAGCAAGAGTGGTTTTGACTCTACAACCGATATATCTTTATAATCATTGCGATAAATGCGTCAATGGCCTAACTTATTTATAGTATCCAATTCTTTTTATTAGTCTGCCAAGTATTTTGACGTAAGAGTCTCGTGAATACCGATTCATACTTTTATACTACCGCCTTGCTCATAACATTTGTTAGAACGAGCATCGATTCAGTTATTTATTACATATTCGCAATGCAACATCTCGTCTAATCGGCTCTATAATAGATCCAGGTAAATGACACTCTTTTACTCGTGGAGAGTCACGTTTTTCCAACACGATGTCGCGTTAAAAATTGTGCAACAAGGTTAACAGTGAAAAGTCAACAAACAAAGAAAAATACTTTTTCAACAGTGTAAGAATCTTTCAATGAAAAAAAAAATGTCATCTGGTATTAATCATGGTCCACGCAACACGGGTACTCTACCAAAAAGTAATAGGAGAAACGATAGAAACAGAGAACAATCAGCTGCCAATCAATTTGCAAACCATTCTAGTTATCACGGACATGCACAGCACTCTAACAATTTGGTAAACTGATTAAAAAATATGTATAATACCTTTGCTTCTTATTGCAAGTTATTTGTTATTATGTACTGAATTATTTTTAAGTTACAAATAAACAATTAGTCATTTAAACATAGTTTAACTATATTCTTGATAACATTCTTAGGCCAGTTATACATTCTGATTTTTTACTTGGATCTTCTTCAGTAACATATCATATTCAGTATCATAGACCTAAACCACTTTTTAAAAAAGGAAAACATTATATATATATAAGTTAAACATTGCTCTATCTTTTATAAGTTTAAATACTTTGGTTGCAGTTCAATCTGTATATTACTATTTAATTTTATTAGTGTAAAAAAACCATTTATATAATTAAATATAATGTATTTCTAAATTTAATGTAATTTGAACTTTCTAAATGAAAACTTCATGCAGCATCTGTATATAGCAGTTCAAAAGATAATCTATTAATAGATAGCTGAATAGTGGGGAAGTTCTTTCTAAGAATACATATCCAGATACAATCCTACTTCGAAGCAGTAGAGTTACAGTATTTCACTCACCATTTCTAGAAATCTCAGTTATTTTTCTGTGTACCTAATCAGTTTCTTTTATTTTATAAATTGCATCCTATAGTACCAACTTGACTGGAAACCAGTTAGTGATAGGGAACACCTGAGAGTAACGAAAAATAGTAATACAAGATTCGATTCATCTGTGCCATCGACATCTTATCAAGATATACCAGAATTTGGTAAATATTTAAATATTCATTTCTTTTCATGCTTCTATAACTTGTTATTAAATAATTTCTATATGTTATTATAACAGCATCCTACACTTTCGGGCGACCATACAATTATAGGGCAGAAGAATTTACATACTGGCAAAAGATGGTTCCACCTACTGATTCTCAAACACAATCCCCTCCACGTTTTCAAGGAACAAAACCTTCTAATGTCGATAAAATGGTAATACAACACTTTTGATCTTTATCAAAATAAAATGTTAGAATAATTTTTTTAACACATTTATAGCCTGATAGAAGCCAAGTAGAATCTCGTTTAAATGAGATCAGAGAGTGTATCAGAGTTACATCAACAATGATGGATTCGCTTAATCAATCTAGTGATCCCGTAAGTCTATAGAAAATGATTAAATTTATAAAGTTTTTTTTTTTTTTGTATACATTATATTTTTTATATTTACAGCGTGCACAAGCTCAAAATGAGAAGTTAGGTATTATGGTAGAGGATCTTCACGACAGTGAAAGAAAACTGTCCAGACTCTTGGAGCAATATCAAAATCCTGGGCTATTCTGCGAGGTATTTCATATATACTTTAATAATTTGAAACATATAAAATAAATTTATAGTGCTATCAATCATAAAAAATCATTTTCAGAATGGTGAAAATGGGGATGAAAACGGCGAATCGAGCAGAGAAGTGAAACTACGCAAAGTCGAAGAATTACAGAAGAAACTTACACACCTATTGAAACATCAGGCTAGTGTAGTTGGAATGCAATTACGTGTGTCAGAAACATTAAGCGAAGCACGTCAAGCTCAACAAGCTCTTATACAACAGGAAAATCAAAGTGCAGTCACATTAAGCCAAACATTACCCGTAAATGTTGAGCAATTGGAAGCTGAAACGGCAAAACTGGCTCAACTTCAAACAAAGAAAAGACACATGGACCATCTTGTAGCTGAGCTACAAGCTGTAGAGATGTCTGATAGGGGTAGTTGTGTTAGTATATTATTTTTTGAATTTACTTAAAAATTATAAACGTCATGTATAATTACCAATCCTGTACTTTAGAGTTCCGAAGGTTCAAGAAATGTTGGAAGAGATAAAGTTGCTGAACTAGAAGCTATGAAAGCACAACTTAGTCATTTAAAATCATTAATGGCAGAAATAACAAGAGCTCGTGATTGTCTCGATTCTAATTCTGATCCTGAACCGGAAGTAGATATGAACGGTGAAACTGCAGCTGCGATGGACACAAATGAAGAAGAAAATGGAACGAATATTTCAATGGAACGTCAAAGTGATACTGATGAGATAAATCATGACAAAATTAGAAACACGGGAGATAGACCAACGGTTGAAGACATCGAGGTAAAAACATAAACGTAAATAAAGGTTGTGTTGTAAACTAAGGTTATATACAATTTACATTATAGGCTGTAACGCAAGAACTTCGAGAACAATCTGCTTTGTTACAAACAACCAGAGCAGAAATACAACGATTGAAACGACCATTGTTAGCGGCATCAACAACTCAGTCTAATTCTACATCCGTTTTCCAAACTTCGACGCCTCTACCATCACTTACAACATCAGTCACTTCCGATAAAAAGCAAGATAATAACAGTACCACAGAAGCCCAGCCAGGTCAAGGAAAACGACGTCAAATTGAAGATCTTATGCGAAAGGTACCTATTTTATGAAGGATGGTGGAGAAACTGGATTATTAATTTATATTTATATGATTTTGTTTTTTGAAACAATAGTATTCATCTCAATCATCTAGCGTTAATCGCGATATGGGAGGAGCAACCGATGTAAATAGTCATAGAAGCTCTAGTTCGCATATTAGTCATACAAGTACTCCCGCTAACGTTTGGCCTTCTTCTGCAGCAATAGGTAAATTAAATGAACTGTCTTGTATTTATTGTCATCATTTATAAACTTATCTTTTGGAGTACAGGAGGGTCCAATGATCAAAGTGTAGATGGCGTATCCACAGAAAATTTAATGGATATAGGACCTCAACCATCAGCAATCGAAAATGGATTCAATGGAAATTGGTGGATATACCCACCACCGCCGATGAATCAGATACAACATGGTAAAGTATATAAACACCAATAGAAATTAAAGAATTTCAACAAATGCGACGTACTTTTTATATATTTAGGTTCATCAGAGTATTATCGGCAATTATTGTTAGGGTCTCAAGCTCAACAACTTCAGATGATGGGTACAACATTACAACAATGTTGCCAACTATTGTGGTCCCAGCAACGTGAATTACAAGCTATGCGTGTAGCTGTTACTCAGTTACAAGCGCAATTGAGACAAAATCAATTACAACAGCGAAGTAACAACAGTGAAAATAATGATGAATATTCTAACTTAAGTCGTAATGCTCACCATCTCGGTGAAACAGTAGATTCTACACTACCGCCAAGTTCATCTCTACCAAATCTGGTATCATTGCCAAATTCTTCTCCCGCATTATCGCATAATGCTGCAACGATTTCTGCAAATTCCCAACAGCAACAACAACAACTGAATAACCAAGTACCGCCAGGAAACAGAGCAAACAACTATTGGGATAATTTCAGAAGGTAATAGAATATACATGTATGCTGATATGAATTTTATCATTTGTCCTAGTGCTGTGAAAGTGTTATCAACATTGATACAAGTATCGTACACCAAACTGAGATTTTCCACTTATGTAATCATTTGATAGATTTATTTTCTGATTTATAAAGTTGAGTTCTACAAATCTTTTATTATGTAAAATAAATGATGTTGTTTTCCTTTCTGATTGGGTATCGTTAAAAAGTACGATTTGGCATTTACCTATGAGTTTAGATATTTTATAATTCGATAGATCGTGCACACCCATCTTCCATCTTTGTGTAAACCTAATGTATCATTACATAAAGTAATAAACTTCACGGTCTACCTGTGCACTTTTTGTCTTGTACTTTTTACTTATTACTACCCTCGTTTAAACCATATCGTAAGTCAAATCTGTATTGATTTTGATTCTATAGTCCAATGGTTAATGAATATGAAACTAAATGAGGATAGTATATTTGGTACGTAAACTGGGTATGTAATACATTGTGTTTAAGGATAAATAGATTTGAAATATTTTGACCCTGACTAACAATATATGCTAAAATAACAATATCTGGATTCACCTTATTCTCTGTGTCATTGGTGTGTTTCTTTTTATCCTTTGTTTATATCCTGTGTTCCATCAGCCATATCATTTCCTTCAGCATGGTATGCATATCTTTAAAATGATTATACGATGAAAATGGTAACTATACGTTTGATTTTTACATTTTCAGCTATTCAAGACAAAACTTACTCTCAGGAAGTATAAAAACTATGACAGACGCTACTTCAGGAGCTATCGCGAATTCAACGTCTTCTGGAAATGCCGTATCAAGCGTGAACAGCTCCCTTATGTATGCAATTTACATGAATCACCCACTAACTCTATATAAATGTGATTTTATTTTCATGCATTGTGAACTTTACTCAAAGGAAAGACAAACGTAATCGGGAGCAAGGAGTTGATAATGTACCTCTGTCTTCGTTAAATGGAGAGGCTCAGTATTCTTTGAATTTGCAATTACAATCAAATTTACAACAACAAGAAAGGGAGAATGCTGTTGCACGTAGCAATATTTTAACGAACGAGGTATCTCAACCACAAGTTGATAATCTTTGGGAAGAAGCACACTCATCATTTCGGTTACCATCTATGATACATGATGAACACCTGTTTCAAACTTTAAGGTTAATTCTTTTTAATTTATTTTTCAATTTCTTTATTTTGCAAATAATAATTTAATCAAGTATATTTATTATTAAATGTATTATATAGCTCTGAGATGAAGGAAGTGTTAACTTCACTTATTTACGCGAATAAAAAACAACCAGATTATTTAGCCACTATATTAAGGGAAATTAAGACTATAAGTGAAGATCATAGATTGCGACCTCGTTTATTGAGATCGTTACGTGCTTTACAAGATATACAACCTCTAAGCAATCCATTGGTTTGTACACTTCTCGTGTATATTTATACATACATTTATACGTATATAAACAGAGTGAGACACTTAAGATAGGTCACCTGAATAACTCATTTACTTGTGATGAGAGACAAAAGTAAGTAAGTTATCGAGGTGGCCCATCTTAAATGAGTCACCTTGATATACCAGACAGTATTTGCGTGCCGCATATACTTATTTAATCTTTTATAGAACGAAACAACCGATCAAACTGCTAGTGAAAGTTGTCAGTCTAGCGACGAAGATTCTGAAGTGGATGCAGTATTAGGTTTAGGTACAGAAAATCAGTCATCTAAAGCAGAATTAGTTGTATCATCTCAAGCAGGAAGTTCATCATCTCCAACTGCCCATGCACAGTTGATAGATCATTTAGATATACCAGTAAGTTGTATTAATAAGAAAATATTGTTCAGTATCTAGAGACGATATTACTTGATATTCCTTCTACAGGGAACGTCCTCAATTGATTCTACGAATGTTTTACCTTCGACACCTGCTAGTAAACCAGGCTACAATGAAGATTTGGCAGAAGCTGATCAGTCTAGACCTGAATCGTCCGGTAATCAACAGGTAATTTAGATCTAATTTGGTTGAATGAGAATTGAAGTAAATAATATGAAATATAAATGAACTATAATTTTATAGTCTTCTAATAATGACGACGAAAATGATCAAGGTCAAGAGGAGGCAGCTGGACCAGTAATATCTATGCAAGCAACATTTGATGGTGAAGTAGAATTAGAGTAATTTAATAAAAGTAATGACTTCTGCATTGCTTGAATAAGCTTTAAAGTCTGGCTGCAAAAGTTGAAGATACGAGAAACGAGGACAATTATATTCTGACGGATTATTTTACAAAATATTTTAGGTTATCCTTTTATCTATTCAAACAAAGGCATGCGATGGCGTTAAAAGCGCCACATATTTATTTATCTCAGATCGAATTCCAATATTGTTTCCCGAAGTATCGTACTATTGTTGTTTTAAGTACGTTTTAAAAAGTTGATAATTTAATTGTAAACATAAAAGTTACAATTTCAAGCTTTTTTTACATGTAATGTATTATTTAGATTAAAATAAAAATTGTAACTTAGAAAAGTAAATATTTATTTTTAACCGTACAATACAGTGCAATGACATACTTATGTATAATGAATATACACTTTACAATACAAATACAAAAAATATAAACATTAGAAATGATTGTCAAATATCTTATTTAAAATTCTGTCTCGGTGCAGTCATTATCAAGCAGTTGTAACCGATGAAGGTGATATATAGAGCAACCATGTGTTTCAAATAAAATCTTCTCATACTCTGCATTGCTTTCAATCGATTTAAACCCATTGCTTGACAATAAATGGTTACAAGCTGAATTATTTAATAGATTATGGTTACCTGCTGCCCAACAGCAGCCCTTGTTTACAATCGTGGATTGTTCTAGGCATTTTTTGTCAATTGTATTCAAATGCAGTAGTTTTGACTCATATGACACCTTGGCCAATCCATAGTCCTTTGTATTTCCTGTACCACAGTGTGCATGGTAGTTACCACTGCCTCTGAAAGAAAACCCATTGAATTATCGACTAATTTAGTTGGATATATCCTATTATGTCTTCCATTTTGTCAGCAAATTATGTCCTTACCATCAAAAAAAGACCAAACTTACTAAGTGTCATTAGTTTATGAAAAAATATTAGCACCTGTGCTTTCCATTGCATATACCATTAGCCATGGTACAGAAGATGACAGGATGCATTAAGCTTCAAAATAAATTTAATGCCAGGATCGGATGAAAATCTCTGTGGTCACATGTAAATATACAATCTTGTCCCCGCAAGAGGGAAGGTCGGAAGTTCATACATTTTATTATCAATTAGTGAAGTAAACACAATGTCAAAATGATATTAAATTGTAACACCATCATTTACTCATGTTCTTGTATAATAATTTATCAATCCTTTCGGAAAATGATAAATATAATCAGCAACAAAAAATGATTTTCTTTTCTTTTCAACATTTTCCTGTTAATATCGTGTCCCGAATTTACTCACGTGAACATTTTGACTTTTAATTAAATAACTGCATTTATAAATATGAGAAAGTCGTGCCACCTAACTTTCGAGTTCTTTCTAGAGCATTCTGGATATTTTTAAGAAAGATCAAGTCATCAAAGAAGAATAGTTTAGAATCGAAACTGAGAAAGGACGAAAAAGATTTAACGAGGAACGAAATAACATAGATTTAGATTAGAAGGCTGAGAAGGATTTGTAATATAGTTCAGATTTGCAGGTTTGGTACCGTTACATATGTATTTTCGCTTCAATAAAAATTTCAAATATTAAATTTAAGAAATAAACGAAAATATTTTATGCATTCCATCGACTAAGAATAGTCGGACGATAACCATATTGCATGCGTTATTGACTGTTTCGGTTAACGTTTACTGATCAAACTTGGTTTTCGGTAAGAAAAATTCTCATTTATAAATTAACCACGTAAAATTATATAAAAAAAAGTTGAAGATAGATTATTTTTCGATGACTATTTTTGCCAGATTGTTCAACATTTTATATATTTCTCTGTTACAATAAATGTTTTCACGCGCTTAAAAATTCTCCCGCTAAAAAGTAGAGGGGGGCAGGAAGGAAACAACGACCTCTAACAAGATTATTTGAATCACGTACAAATATGAACTGATGAGGTCGTGGTTCTGTGTAACCTCCACGGAAATAGAGATCTAAGACGTCTCCCTTTTTCCTTCGCACAGAAAGTATTCGAATGAGTGAAATTGCGAATTCTCTCCTACCTTCACGAAATTTTTTCAGCTCGGCGGTGGGGCTGAGATCGCCGTTGCACCGCTTCCGGTTCCTGCGTTGAAGCGTATCCGCGTCGCCGTGGGCCGTCTGTTGTTCACGGTGTTGTTGCTGGTCGTTTGTTTTCAATCGACTCTGTGTTGGCGCCGCTAGAATTACGGAAGCGTTATTCAAATAGCGAGATGCCACAGAATAATCGCAACCGTCATCGTCGGTTTCCATAGCTGTATCGTAAGAACAGCGATCAAACATCGACGTTTCGGTAACTTCCGCGTGCTCGAGTGCACCGTTTAGTTGATTTTCTTTTCTATAAGGCGGCACGTAACCGTAATATGTATTCGACGACATGAACGATGGAACGACGTTACGCGGATTATACATAGCACCACTTGTTACCGCCATGCTTAATCTTTCTATTGTGAATGACTATCGATACTAGATTGGGGAACGTATGAAAATATATAACGTTTAATCACGCGAAGAAAAAAGAAAACAGAAAGCACCACAGAACGGAGACGAAGTCAACACTTCACGAGACGAACGACGAATGGTAGTTCGTTAAACCGAATACCCTCGAGCAGTGAATCGGCAACGTTCGGGTATAGTTGCCAGTTTGAGGACGCATGCAATGGAGAATTTCCCCCTCTGTATACATATTCACACCCGCGCCGCGTGTATGTGTAGTCACTCGCCATTTCGGACAGCTTCGGGGAAACGAGAAAGAAAACGAACGTTAGCCTTTTCCCGCCTTCAACACTGCTGAAATCCGAATTATCGGTTAACGAAATGTGATCTTGGACAACTGTCGTTTATATGTATTTTTGTAACTGCAGTTCAGATACTCGAGTAGTTCTATCGTTTTCGTTAGGTGTTTCCAACACCTAGCATTGGCTTTCTTGAACATTAAGTATCGGCTTTTTCACAACAGTATTTATACCTGTAATCTTATCAGTTTTAACTTGGCAGTTAAATGTTTACATATTCAGCCTAATTGTATTCCTACAAGAGTAAATAACCGCCAGCCAAGTTCATATTCTGTTTACTTACCAGCAACACAGATTCTCATTTGTGTCGAGAGCGAGAAGGAAAGATTCACGTTTGTTTTATTTCTCGATTCCTTGAGCTGTACGAAGGTCGAGCTGACATACACGCGAATTGCATACATACGTATGTATGTGGAGAGCGAAATTTTCTATGACCGCATCCTCGATCTGGAATTACAAGTTCGGGTTGTAAACCGAATAGACTTGAACTTCGAATCGACAACATTCGGCAATCATCGCTCGATTTAATTCGTTTCTTTAAATCCCCACCAATTCTTATTTCTAACAATTGACTCACCCACAGAAATTTATTGCTCTTTTGTTAGCATCTGACTCAAGCATTTAAAAGTATTTTCGAAGGATGATTCTACTGTAAATGCGATTTTGAAATCGTTGCAACGTACTCGAGGTCTCTTCATACAAATGTTAATAAGCGGAAATGAATGTACACACATGTCCTTAATCACCATTGTCATTTTTTGTTCATCAAACAGATGTTAAAAGGAATAATTTCTATCGATTACAAAACAATTTATAAAAATACTTGCTTGATTTATGTCAAATTTATTCGTTTTAAAAATATTTAATTTAATACTGGTCTTAGTACCAGTAACGCCATCGGTGGCGAGACACCCAAGTTTGTAGTAAAAAAATAGTTCTCTCTATTGCTGTTAGATGGCGTTACAAAATAAAAGGTCGATAATTATTGCTACATAAAATAACTATTCATAAAAATGATAAATTTGACATACTAACTAATATACTGTAGTGTTATAAAGCAAAGAGTCGTATTAATTATGCATTTATAAAAAATAACAAAAATTGATTATAAGATATCGGGGGTGCCATCTTACAAAAACGGTGGAAACTTTTTTTCCTACAAACTTGGGCATTTTCCCACCGATGGCGCCACTATCTAAAAGGGTCAATAATTATTGCTGCAGTAAGAAATTATTCATACAAATTATAAATTGAACTCATTAACTAATATATTGTAGTATTAGAAAGCAAGGAGTCGTATTAACTATGTATTTATGAAAAATAAAGAATAATTTATTAAAGACATCAGTGGCGCCATCTTACAAAAACTGTGAGAACTTTTTTCACTACACACTTGAGCGTCTTGCCACCGATGGCGTTACTGGTACTAAGACCAGGATTAAGTTAAATATTTCTAAAACAAATAAATTTGACATAATCACAGATGCACTAACCATTTTATTGATTCATATACTTTGTATTTAATTTTATTATAAGTTAATTATAAGGAAAATGAGATATTAGGTGGTTAATAAGTGTCAGAAAAAATATCATTGAAAAATTAGTTCGGCCTGTTGACCGCTAGATGGTGATACTAATTCCGTGTCCATGAATCGAGCGAAAATGGTTGAATATGTAATGCAAAATTAAAATGTTTTGTAATCGATAGAAATTATTCCTTTCAACATCTGTTTGATAAACAGAAAAAGAAACGAATTAATTTTTAAACCTATGTAAAGAAGTTTGGTAGAGTTACATTTTAATTTCAAAACATATTTATAGGTTAGAAAATAACTGGTGCATATGGTGCATGTCTAAACGTGATAAATTTGTAAAAACCTTATACGAGATTATTTTAAGCGATCATTAAAATACTCGAGATGTCGTTCTTCAAGATAATTACACATTTATACCTTCATCAAGTACGATTCTTTTCTACAAATACTGCACAGATACCTTTAAATAAACAGAGAAGTTGTAGTAGACAAATTCTTCTATTACATGATCTTATTAGATCTCAAATAGAACCACGTAAAGATGTATTAGCGAGATCTGATGTATCAAAAGAAACGTGGGAAGAGCTGAGGAATACTATAATTAAATCAGGAGTGTGTAATCCACAGGTGGTGGACACAGCAGTCATGAAATGTTGCTGTAATAAAGACTTGGTTGATATAGGAATAAATTATTATAAATTTCTGGAGCATAGCGATCATAAACCTTCTGTAATATTGGATAGCAAATATTTGAGATTGTATGGTAAAAAGGACTCTTCGATTAACGAATCAGAGAAAAAACACATTCTAAATGTATATAAAGCTATGATAGAGAAATTTCCAATATTGGATGGTGAAACAACTGAGTCTTGTATTATAGGTTTATGTAAAATTGGCGAATGGAAAGAAGCTACTGAAATTATAAAACGTTTTCAACAATATGACTCTCAATTTCTTAGAGAAGGCTACAGTGTACTAATTGATTATTGCATTAAAAATTCCAACATAAAATTAGCAGAAGAATACTTAGTTCATACTTATAAAGTGTCAGCAGGGCCTTTGAAATATGTATATGATACAT